GGGGGGGGGGGGGTCATATGTCCCTAGTCTGAATTTAAATATGGTTGTTTCACAATTTGGGGGGTGGAGAATAAGGCCATGTCCTGTCGATTTTTAACCCATCTTTCTGTCGTTTGTTGCCCTTTCATCTAGTCCTAAGCCACTTGTTCAAGGTTATGTTGCTTGTCGGAACACTACAATGAGGGACAAAAGTGTTGAAACACTTCTATAAAATGGACCTTTTTTTTGAACATACCTACCCCCTCCCCCCAAAACCAATGTTGTATTTTAGACCCTTGAGTCTTTCTTTTACTAACAACGTTGATTGGGGGGTGGGGAGGTGTATGGCATTTAAAGAATAAATGAATGAAATTGTTGATAAAAGCACCCGTTTTAGACAACTGTGTTGATTACTTTTGTTCCTGATTGTAGTCTCCCCCCTTGGCCCCACTTTCTTCACCCCTGGAGTAAAGACCAATTTAAGCTGTGAAGAAGAAGTTTCAATAACTTTTGAAGTAGGTGGAAGTTTAAGGCAATTCTTGTAAGTGTTAAAGTGAAAATCAATAACTGCCTAAGACCAAGAGAGTTTAGGGGCTTATTGAAGGCCTAGCTTGTCAAAGCATGCCTTATTCAGGGTTGTCACTAATAGATTTCAAAGTGCCGGATAAATACAACAAGGAGGCGGGGATTCAAACAGTTTAGATGGATTTCTTTTGGTTCTATTTTTCTTCTATTTTCCAGTGAAAGTAGCCAGGGGCCACATTCTTAGTAGCCAGGGGAAATCTTAATGTCAACCGGCCCTGCTTATTTCTTCATGTGTGTTTTGTGAACAACCCCCTGGATCTGCAGCCAGGCTGGTGATTTGTACTGTGTCACTTAAACCATGCAAATGTGAGAAACAGGACATCCAGTGAGCACAAAGAGTTACATGAAAACTAATGATATTCCTTTTTGTGTTATTCATAATAGCAGAGATACAGGCAAAAAAACAAAGTTAATATTAAATGGAAATTAATGAGTTATAAAGTACGGTTTAACATTGGTTCATTCATAAGTCAAACCAAGACTATAAACTTTCATATTATCACTGTGAGTTTGCGGACTTACAATTCAACTTATTTAAAAAACTAAGCGTACACTGTACATAAAAATGACATGCGTTTTATTTTTTACCTTTTATTTCCGCCAGTCTTTCATACGCATTGTCAAAAAACATCAACTCTATTTTCTGTTTGTTTAAAACAATGATTTTGGTGGAGTATGGTCGTCTACAATGATCAATAATTCTCCCACGATTTGAATGACTGTACTAGTATGCAAGAAGCGAATTCAAACCAACGGAATTTCCTTCGTTCACAGTGCATGAGCTGGTGCTTATTAATTTTAAAAGCTTACCTGTGATATGTTCAAAGATTTCTTCGATCTCGTTTGCTTCAAAAAGGGAAGTAAATGCTGTTTTCTGTCCTTGGATCGATCGTCTTTTCCCATTTTCAGTCTAAAGAAATAACACGCGGAGATTATATTTAATAAACATAAGATTAAGCTTAAGCTTACATGCACCATTTCAATAAACTCGCCACTTAAGCTCTCTGCGTGTAATTTGTAAACAGCATCTAGAAAACTAAAATATTTACCGACTAAAAGGTGTTAGATAGCATTTCTCTCTGATCTAATAATCTAGCCTAAAGTTCAATACTCACTACGATTGCTGCTGCGTTCATTCACAAGATATTTGCTTCCACTTGAGAGGAATTGAATGGAACAAAAGCAATCAAACTCATCGCTTGCAGGGACCTTGCATGGGCCGTGAAAACCATTTTCCATCTGCATCCATACCCTTCTTGCTAGTTAACAGCATACAATGCTAACAGGAAGGATATTTTCGTAGAACTTAACGTTCCTGTATACTTTTTGAGGACACTTTTTGACAGTTTCTCCACAGCTTGCGAAAGTGCGCGCGTGTCTGACACCTTGGTTGTCAAATATCACCATAGAAACCAGCTGATAAAGAGACACGTTGATTACTTCATTTACGCATCATAACACTTCTGGGATTGAGTTTACACAAACAAATGTTGGACCACGGTAAACAAACATTTGATTTTCAATCAAATCGTCGATATTTACTTTGCTAATATTGTGAATGAGTTTTATGGAGAAGTTGGCTATTTTGAGCGAATTAACACGTTTGATTAAGGGACCCGCTGTGTTTGTTCCTTTTCCTGATAAAGAAAACATAGCCTGTGAACAGGCCCTAAACAGAGAGCCTGTTCACAGGCTAAAGAACACAGGCCAGGGGCACTTTCCATTCAGCCCGAAATTCCGGAAATTTTGGTTCGAAATCAAATGGAACAGACCATTTCTGTTCTTTCAGACGGGAATATTCAGGGGCACCCAACGTCAATTTTCGGAAAATATCTGTTCGGAACACGATTTGAGATCTAGAACTTTTAGAACATTTGTTGTAAAATTTATTGCTTGCCGGCCTCTCCTAGGATTCAAGGATCTAAAAAAATGGTGTAATGCCCATTTTTAACGGATTTTTACCCTAAAAAGGTCACCTAGAATTTTCGGGAGCCTTTTTTCTGGCTGAAATTATCGAAAAGGTAAGTTTTGATCCCTATCATTTTCGGATCACTAGACTTTCAGCTAGGAAATCCGAACAGATGAAAAATTTTTAGGGGATAAAAATATGCCTATATCTACCGTTTAAATACTAAAATACGTTTAACAATGCTATGTTTAAGTGGTTTGTACTATATTCTCGTTGGGTACCCCTGAATATTTGGGACATACGATCTGGTCATTTCGCTGGTTTCCCCGCGAAATGACGTCTTAGGAAGAAGCACAAAAAAATTCCATACCAGTAAAGTGTCACTACCCTGATTAGGCGGGTAGTGCTTCTGATTGGTTAAAAACTTGCTTCAACCAATCAGAAGCACTATCCAGATCTGGGTAGTAACACGTCATCAGTATGGAATTTCTGCGCTCGTTTCCCAGGCTTCATTTCGCAGGGAAACAAGTGGTGACGTCGCGAAATGTCGGCTGCTTTCTCAAGTTAAAATGAATGTTCATACAAAGTGTTTTGGGGGTAAATAGGAAGTATTATGGGCAACACCAAAATAGTGAATCGGCTATTTTAAGATGGAGGCTAGGTCGGTTTTGCTCCGAGTTGCATTATGGGGCTTTTTTGGTGCGAAATCGCTCCCTTTTTTGCCTTCTACCAAGTTGCGCAGGACACTGGGACAAACTTCGTCCCCCAAAACAAAACAAAAAAGGAAGAACACATTATGCCGCTCTCATAAAAATCCTTTTAATGGACTGACAAATGTATTTAACGCCATTAAATTTCTTACTTTGGTAATTTTTCTATCGACTTGTGACTACGACTGTTCTCTACTTTCTCACTTTTGAGTTTATATTGTATTCTTCCAGGTATTTCCACTAGCTACTCCTCAGGCACTTCTTTGTCGCACAGAGGCAGGCGCGAAACGCGGTGACGAACCACAAGAGACCATGCGAAGGAGAAAGAAGAAAGCCGTCTCCTTCCCACCTTCCTTTGCGCGCATATTTTCATGGAGAGAGACTTGTGCTTGGCGATGTGCGGGCATCACTATTCCTCTTGGTTTAAATGGGCTATGAGAATTAAACTAAGAAGCTTCTGCCAGAGAACACCTTCAACCCAACATTAGGCGTCTATGTAGTCAGAAATAACGGATTACGTGCTCGTTCCAGGCCCGTAATACATACAACTTCGACATGACCTACGACAACTGTTTAGTTCACCTGTAGCATAGTCCATTACGAATGTTTTTGCTGAAAAACACTGCTTAAAGATTTCTCTCGTGAGGTTGCTTGTATTCCATGCCAATGATTTCAAATATCTCTTCTTCGCTTGATACAGGTATGGGTTCCCCTGGAACACCTAAAAAGAACGGATGAAAAATTTAACCCTCGGACAGACTACATGGCGAATAACGGCAGGCTCGCCCCGTTATTCGTCGTTTTATCCCGGCAAGGAGCCTGGTCCCAGACTATGATAACGAAAGCAAAATGTTGACAGTTCTGTAACAAGTATGGACGCTCTGGTTAAGTAAAGATTCAAATAACATGACTAACCTGTACTCCCCAATGGTCTGAGAAATCCAACAAAAGGAAGAAAAGACAGAATTAGTATTTCAATAAGGCCCAAGGAAAGGGATCCCGCAGGACACTAAGGATGTGAAGATACGGATATTACATTGTTGACGGTGATGGAGCTGTGGAACGTGAGGATTAATCGATATTGTGGATTTCTAAGTGATCAAGCTACTGCTGCTGCTGCAGCTGATAATGATGATGATGATGATGATGATCACACAGGCTCTTTGCAAGAGATTTTACCAGAAACTCATAAGGGGTTGAACAACCCCTTATGGGTTTCTGATTTTACTGAAAAAAACCTTCTAAAGGGTGTACTTTTGACTCGCCATCCGAATACTTCTCACAATTGGTAAGTTAATGCGATGGCCAACTTCGAGCCCTATATGATGATGTTCTCGAAGCATTATAACATGTAAAGTTTTTCGAAGGACGGTATATAACGGTTTGGAGATAAAGATGAGAGGAAAGACAATTGATTATAACGAAGACATGTGAGCAATGACATTAAACTTGTAATCATTATAATGAGGAAAATATGAATAATGGTACAGTGTTGACGCAGATAATCTTAATTATTTTGACGATATTGATAATAGCGAAAACAATGATAATGATGATGATGATACTAACATACCTTATGGAGTATTCATTGATAGTAAACCCGTTGTCGAGGGCATGTTGGCGCATTCTCCTGTTAAACTCATCACTACCGGTGAAGTAAAGAATTCCACAGTAGTACTGGTCGTTAGGAATTAGTCTGAAATAAAAGGAGCTAATATCAGGACCAAGATACGCTGACTGTCCTGTAGACTAGTCTGTTTCAAACGTTTAAGCCACTCAGTTGATAGAACGCCAGTCATTCCGAGTGGGTGGTTACGTGGACAAACCTCAGGCCGGGTTTATAAAAAAAAATGATAATGATAGAATCATGTTGACTGTGATGGGGATCTTGCCTCAGTTCAGATGATTCTGGTGTGAAGATAGCCAGTCCAGATGAGGTGTGGATGTGGACATGGGTTTCTTTCAACCACGTTGAATTTTTGGGGGTAAGACCTTTTTCGCTAATACCCTGAAATGAAAGTGCGTATTCTAACTCACGGAAAGGAGAATCTCAATGAAGGAAAGCCAATAATGGCATTACCTTGGCAGAAAACACACATTCAAAGGTGATGTTACACAGGACGATTCGCAAAGGCGTTTTTTAGCACAACACAGGGTTGCAATGCTCTGTGATATGTTCAAAGATTTCTTCGATCTCGTTTGCTTCAAAAAGGGAAGTAAATGCTGTTTTCTGTCCTTGGATCGATCGTCTTTTCCCATTTTCAGTCTAAAGAAATAACACGCGGAGATTATATTTAATAAACATAAGATTAAGCTTAAGCTTACATGCACCATTTCAATAAACTCGCCACTTAAGCTCTCTGCGTGTAATTTGTAAACAGCATCTAGAAAACTAAAATATTTACCGACTAAAAGGTGTTAGATAGCATTTCTCTCTGATCTAATAATCTAGCCTAAAGTTCAATACTCACTACGATTGCTGCTGCGTTCATTCACAAGATATTTGCTTCCACTTGAGAGGAATTGAATGGAACAAAAGCAATCAAACTCATCGCTTGCAGGGACCTTGCATGGGCCGTGAAAACCATTTTCCATCTGCATCCATACCCTTCTTGCTAGTTAACAGCATACAATGCTAACAGGAAGGATATTTTCGTAGAACTTAACGTTCCTGTATACTTTTTGAGGACACTTTTTGACAGTTTCTCCACAGCTTGCGAAAGTGCGCGCGTGTCTGACACCTTGGTTGTCAAATATCACCATAGAAACCAGCTGATAAAGAGACACGTTGATTACTTCATTTACGCATCATAACACTTCTGGGATTGAGTTTACACAAACAAATGTTGGACCACGGTAAACAAACATTTGATTTTCAATCAAATCGTCGATATTTACTTTGCTAATATTGTGAATGAGTTTTATGGAGAAGTTGGCTATTTTGAGCGAATTAACACGTTTGATTAAGGGACCCGCTGTGTTTGTTCCTTTTCCTGATAAAGAAAACATAGCCTGTGAACAGGCCCTAAACAGAGAGCCTGTTCACAGGCTAAAGAACACAGGCCAGGGGCACTTTCCATTCAGCCCGAAATTCCGGAAATTTTGGTTCGAAATCAAATGGAACAGACCATTTCTGTTCTTTCAGACGGGAATATTCAGGGGCACCCAACGTCAATTTTCGGAAAATATCTGTTCGGAACACGATTTGAGATCTAGAACTTTTAGAACATTTGTTGTAAAATTTATTGCTTGCCGGCCTCTCCTAGGATTCAAGGATCTAAAAAAATGGTGTAATGCCCATTTTTAACGGATTTTTACCCTAAAAAGGTCACCTAGAATTTTCGGGAGCCTTTTTTCTGGCTGAAATTATCGAAAAGGTAAGTTTTGATCCCTATCATTTTCGGATCACTAGACTTTCAGCTAGGAAATCCGAACAGATGAAAAATTTTTAGGGGATAAAAATATGCCTATATCTACCGTTTAAATACTAAAATACGTTTAACAATGCTATGTTTAAGTGGTTTGTACTATATTCTCGTTGGGTACCCCTGAATATTTGGGACATACGATCTGGTCATTTCGCTGGTTTCCCCGCGAAATGACGTCTTAGGAAGAAGCACAAAAAAATTCCATACCAGTAAAGTGTCACTACCCTGATTAGGCGGGTAGTGCTTCTGATTGGTTAAAAACTTGCTTCAACCAATCAGAAGCACTATCCAGATCTGGGTAGTGACACGTCATCAGTATGGAATTTCTGCGCTCGTTTCCCAGGCTTCATTTCGCAGGGAAACAAGTGGTGACGTCGCGAAATGTCGGCTGCTTTCTCAAGTTAAAATCAATGTTCATACAAAGTGTTTTGGGGGTAAATAGGAAGTATTATGGGCAACACCAAAATAGTGAATCAGCCATTTTAAGATTGAGGCTAGGTCGGTTTTGCTCCGAGTTGCATTATGGGGCTTTTTTGGTGCGAAATCGCTCCCTTTTTTGCCTTCTACCAAGTTGCGCAGGACACTGGGACAAACTTCGTCCCCCAAAACAAAACAAAAAAGGAAGAACACATTATGCCGCTCTCATAAAAATCCTTTTAATGGACTGACAATTGTATTTAACGCCATGAAATTTCTTACTTTGGTAATTTTTCTATCGACTTGTGACTACGACTGTTCTCTACTTTCTCACTTTTGAGTTTATATTGTATTCTTCCAGGTATTTCCACTAGCTACTCCTCAGGCACTTCTTTGTCGCACAGAGGCAGGCGCGAAACGCGGTGACGAACCACAAGAGACCATGCGAAGGAGAAAGAAGAAAGCCGTCTCCTTCCCACCTTCCTTTGCGCGCATATTTTCATGGAGAGAGACTTGTGCTTGGCGATGTGCGGGCATCACTATTCCTCTTGGTTTAAATGGGCTATGAGAATTAAACTAAGAAGCTTCTGCCAGAGAACACCTTCAACCCAACATTAGGCGTCTATGTAGTCAGAAATAACGGATTACGTGCTCGTTCCAGGCCCGTAATACATACAACTTCGACATGACCTACGACAACTGTTTAGTTCACCTGTAGCATAGTCCATTACGAATGTTTTTGCTGAAAAACACTGCTTAAAGATTTCTCTCGTGAGGTTGCTTGTATTCCATGCCAATGATTTCAAATATCTCTTCTTCGCTTGATACAGGTATGGGTTCCCCTGGAACACCTAAAAAGAACGGATGAAAAATTTAACCCTCGGACAGACTACATGGCGAATAACGGCAGGCTCGCCCCGTTATTCGTCGTTTTATCCCGGCAAGGAGCCTGGTCCCAGACTATGATAACGAAAGCAAAATGTTGACAGTTCTGTAACAAGTATGGACGCTCTGGTTAAGTAAAGATTCAAATAACATGACTAACCTGTACTCCCCAATGGTCTGAGAAATCCAACAAAAGGAAGAAAAGACAGAATTAGTATTTCAATAAGGCCCAAGGAAAGGGATCCCGCAGGACACTAAGGATGTGAAGATACGGATATTACATTGTTGACGGTGATGGAGCTGTGGAACGTGAGGATTAATCGATATTGTGGATTTCTAAGTGATCAAGCTACTGCTGCTGCTGCAGCTGATAATGATGATGATGATGATGATGATCACACAGGCTCTTTGCAAGAGATTTTACCAGAAACTCATAAGGGGTTGAACAACCCCTTATGGGTTTCTGATTTTACTGAAAAAAACCTTCTAAAGGGTGTACTTTTGACTCGCCATCCGAATACTTCTCACAATTGGTAAGTTAATGCGATGGCCAACTTCGAGCCCTATATGATGATGTTCTCGAAGCATTATAACATGTAAAGTTTTTCGAAGGACGGTATATAACGGTTTGGAGATAAAGATGAGAGGAAAGACAATTGATTATAACGAAGACATGTGAGCAATGACATTAAACTTGTAATCATTATAATGAGGAAAATATGAATAATGGTACAGTGTTGACGCAGATAATCTTAATTATTTTGACGATATTGATAATAGCGAAAACAATGATAATGATGATGATGATACTAACATACCTTATGGAGTATTCATTGATAGTAAACCCGTTGTCGAGGGCATGTTGGCGCATTCTCCTGTTAAACTCATCACTACCGGTGAAGTAAAGAATTCCACAGTAGTACTGGTCGTTAGGAATTAGTCTGAAATAAAAGGAGCTAATATCAGGACCAAGATACGCTGACTGTCCTGTAGACTAGTCTGTTTCAAACGTTTAAGCCACTCAGTTGATAGAACGCCAGTCATTCCGAGTGGGTGGTTACGTGGACAAACCTCAGGCCGGGTTTATAAAAAAAAATGATAATGATAGAATCATGTTGACTGTGATGGGGATCTTGCCTCAGTTCAGATGATTCTGGTGTGAAGATAGCCAGTCCAGATGAGGTGTGGATGTGGACATGGGTTTCTTTCAACCACGTTGAATTTTTGGGGGTAAGACCTTTTTCGCTAATACCCTGAAATGAAAGTGCGTATTCTAACTCACGGAAAGGAGAATCTCAATGAAGGAAAGCCAATAATGGCATTACCTTGGCAGAAAACACACATTCAAAGGTGATGTTACACAGGACGATTCGCAAAGGCGTTTTTTAGCACAACACAGGGTTGCAATGCGGGAAAAAGTAATCATTCGAAACAATCTCGCAACAATGTTACGACGCTGTGTTGCGCTAAAAATCGTCGTTGCGAATCGTCTCATGCAACATCACCCTAAGGGGACTTTATCACGAGGATATTGCGGTTTTAGGTCAATTCTGTGCTGACGTCATGACTAAGTACCTTTACCCATAAAGAAAATGCTCCTCTAGAGTAATGAGTAAGATAATTCAAACAAATTTCATCAGGGAGCACGCACCCTAATAATTATTTTGGTGAAATTTTCGGCAGGCATATCAATAAAGGGGCCGTGTCACGGCAGTCCAGTTAATTTTCTTTAATTTTGCCAATTACTTGCCCTAAATCGCTATGGAACTTAAAGTAAGGGAAGAAATTACATGTAAATGACAAAATCAGAGATCCGAGACAAACACATATGTCTCCTGAGCATTATTTTTGAAGTTGAAAGCAGTAGGGATCAACATTGAAAAGCTGTTAGGCTGAACAGCGTTCAAAAACCCTAATTTCAATCCGTTTCAATCTACTTCAGTTTTGCCCATCCGTGGCATCTGTTGTTTCTGTTGTAATACTATAACGTTTCTTTAACGTTTAAGCGGTTATTTTTAATGGCCATTTTGTAATTTCCTTATTTGGCTGAATTTCGTGACACAGCGCCTTTAATACTTGAGAAGGATGGCTCAACTTTTTCAGGTTTCAATCCGTGTCCACCGTTGCCATCCGTTGCAAAAGACGGCAGGAAAAAGTTTCGATGCATAAAAATGGTCTTGACTAACAAAACTGGACCACTTTGTTTGGGAATTCAATTGTTTTGAAAGCATCAAGTTTTAGCTTTTTAAAAAGAAAGCAATAGCGTGACCTAGCCCCTTTAATAGCGAGTTTAAGGGCCTGTTTACATGGAGTGGGGGACCCCGGTCCAGTGGGGTTGGTTTCTTTTGTTTTCACGCTCTGGGGAACACAAAACAAAAGAAACCTACCCCACTAGACCGGGGTCCCCCACTCCATGTAAACAGGCCCTAAGATACCACGACGGCGACGGCCAAGAAAACGTTGCTTGAAAAGCAATTTTCAATGCAGTGTCAATGTCTGTCCCGATTACTCCAACTCATTTGCTTTGCCAATGCAAGCGAACTCTTTTTGAGCAGAATTCCTAAGAACCACATTCAAGTTCAGATAGAGAAAGAAAATTTAGCCGTCGCTTGTTAACGTCCTCCATGAAAAGGAAAATTAGGCATTTTCCCGTCGTAGTCGTGCAGTGACGGTAAAGAAATGTACATAAAAGCGTGATGCACGTGGAGAGTCGTTGTTTTGCCCATTCAACCTATTGCTATTTTGACGTTCTCGTTGTCGTCGCCGTCGTGGTGTCTAAAGTCCCTAACGATGTTACGGTAATAAGGTCGGGGTTTAGTTTCTATTAACTAAAAGTTTGCAAAACTACCAGCTTGTTGCTTCATGGAAATTAGGTACTCTGGAATAAACATGAAGGACTTGGGCTTTTTGATGATCACTAATTTAGGGAGCTTAAGCAACGAAGACAGCGACGGGAAAGGCAACGGCAACGGCAAAAAGGCAATAGGTTTACATTAGCAAAATAACAACTTTGCACGTGCGTCATGCTTTTTTGTACATTTCTTTTCCGTCACTACAAGACTACGACGTGAAAATGCCAAATTTCACGTTTTGTGGAGGACGTGAACACTTAACACGACTTACTTTTTTTCAAGTTTTCCTGAACTTTGATAGCGTCTTTTAGAATTCAACTCCAGAAAAGTCGCCAACATTTGACGAGTTGAACGAGATGGAATAAGCGCGATACAGTTTGAAGTAGCGCGACTTCACTTTTTAAGTGACGTTTTCGTAGCGCCGTCGTCGCCGTCGTTCTTGTTTAAGCCCCCTATAAATACACAATGAGAAGCTTCACACCTTATGTCAATTCTTCTGTGAATCTTTTCCTTTGCTTTTGGCAAAATACAGACTCCCTGTCAATGAAATGTGCACAAAATAGTCACTGACACGGTTTTGACTGTATGAAGATTGTGGTTCAATTCCATTCTGTTCAAGAAAAAAACTTACGTCACCCAAAACGTTGTTCATCTGCTCTAGCGAAATAATTTAACAAACGACAACTGCCGGGCAACGAGTCATAACATCAACCCACACAATGTTGAAGTTTTAACTGACGAAAATCACGCCATCAAGCGCCGAGTCAAGAAGACCATCGAGAGTAGTGTAGGAGCTGCTTGGAAGGTGTCTCCTAATTGGTCGCAGGAAACAATGAAGTCTTCGTTTTGCTTCAAACTGTTTTGCTCTGAGTTTTGGAAATTGTTTGCTAACAGAAAAAAATTGAACCATAAAATATATATACATTATGGATAAAGGCACTGAGCAAAAAGGAATAAACAAGGAAACAAGGAAAGTAGTTTTCGCTAAAAGCTCTTCGTACGTATGAGATGGTAGCGGTAAGCAAAATCCTGACCCACCCCTTGCAATAAACAGAAGAGTGAAAAGAGGGTCCTTAATTTTATACGTCGGTAGATCGAAACGGTCGGCATCAGACTAACAGTGCACTCATTTTATCCCTCTCTCTCCACAAGTGTTCCGTTTTACTGATATTTTAAGCTACTCAAAGCCACAAGGAACTGACAGAAGTCGAAACAAGGATTTGACGTTACGCCTAGGAATCAAACTCGGAATTCCTCGCACAGAAGGCCGCTAGACTTTCAAAAAAGTCCTTCGACGGATTTAACCTCTCGCGACTTTGTCGCTCGCGGCCTAAAAAGCTCGCTCTGCTCGCTTGTCGACTTGTGGCAAGTCTAAGAAGGCCGCTTACTTACTGTGTCGGTCTGGGCAACACGGCTGTCTGTGCAATGCTATGACACACAGGAGTGTCTCAACAAAAGCTAACAGTCAATCAATCAACCTATTAAATTTATAAATGTGTCAGAAAACGTCTGGCACACCACAAGTGGTGCTCTAATCGAGATCACTTAGAATAGGATTGCTTTCTCTGCGTCGAATGCAAAAAAATTAAGTTAATAAATGACTAACTTAATCCGCATTTAAATAATTAATTATTGATTAACTAATAAATTCTATAAAAGAATGAACAAAGGGTTGCGTCAAATGAATAAATGTCTCTTTAACTTACGGTTTCCTTACCATAAATTTCGTGTCCCCCAAGGATAGAGAATCAGTTACGAAACTTCCTTTCGATAGCGTGTCCACAACACCATGTAGAAGAGCTTTCTACAAATAATAGCAAGAATATAAGAGCAAACTGATGTTCTCACATCGCTGATGAAGTCCGAGCGATTCGCAAAAACAACAAATTGAAAGTGAAGTTTATAATTTGCAATGAGTCTCGGAATTAGTTATACGATAGTGTGATGCTGTGATGTTTATGAACAATAGTGTAATTTGGCAAAGGTAAAGAGGGCGGATGGGGGGGTTGTTGGTGAGGGATTTGGAAGGAATACCCTTTTTTATTACTCTCATCACCATTGCTTTCTACGATACTTCCTTGTCAATGATACTTCGCAAATAAGAATGGTTTAACATGGCCTGTTCACGGAAGTTTTGCTCAGGGTTCGTACTTTTTTGAGCTCCTGAAATTCCATGACCTTCCATGACTTTTTTCAATGACGTTTTCAAATTTTCCAAGACCTCTGGTTTAGTGGTCACCTTCAAAAATTTTCAAAATTTTCCTTGTTTTGGGGTATTTTTTGACCTTAAGCAGCTCAACAGAAACAAACTATGGTGTTCACCAAAAAGCGTGCCGTTTGCGCTTTTTAATTACTGCTGTCTATCTTACATTGTCCTCGCTTTGCCATCTGCAGTAACCAAACTACCAAACAAAACTTTAATTTTCCATCACTTTCAAGGAACGATAATTAAATTCCATGACTTTACAGGCCTGGAAAATGACATTCTAAAATTCCACGACTTTCCAGGTTTTCCATGACCTGTACGACGGTTTTTTTTCGACGATTTGAAAGTGAGATCGCTTGGTTCGCACGCGAGAGCGAATTGGAATGCGAGAAAAAACGAAAGGAACTATTTTCTCTTTTTCCCCACCACCACCCAATTCAACTTGCGGACAATAAATCCCTCGCGGTTTTTATTTCCATAGGCGCGCTAGACAATATCTAAAGAGAAAAGAGAGGGTCTGTGAACAGGCTACGTTGAACACTAATGAGTTTATGCTATTTAGGGAGAATATTTGTAGGAGTATTTTTTTGCTGTATACTATTACTGACCTTATCAAACTCTCTGTCAGTTGAGNTTTTTTTTTTTTTCCTGGTTCCATGGGATGGGAAAAAAGAGCAAAAGCAAAAGGGTGAAAAAAAAAAAAAAAAAAGGGGAGAAATTTTGTTGGAAAAAAAATTTTTTTGGGGTGTTTTAAAGGGGGGGGGCTTCCCAACCAATTCACCCCCCCCCCCCCCCCCTGGATCTGCCTCTGGGTTGTTACAATCATCAGACAATAGAAGACCATTGTCAATACCTCTTCTGAAACTACCGCAAACTGTTGCAATAATTTCCTTGTCAAACTCTGCAATCTTCTCCATGATCATTTCCTAATTTAAACGGAAATAAAATTTAGACATTGGAAGCCTAAAGCAACAACTAACAGTCATATTTTAAAAGTTTTTGAAATAACAAAATTAGCCAATGAGTAATGATAAAGTTTACATTCTGAATCTAACTAAACCTTCTAGGCCTATCCAGATGCTGGTAAAGAACAAAGAGAGTGGTAAGGGAAAAAGACCGTTCAAGCTGCACTTACATGATTAATGCCCTGCGGAATATCTTCATCTTCGCCTAGCTTGCAATGATACTCCATTTTTTTGGTTTCATGTAGGTTTAAAGACGGTTCAAGACAAACTTGATCATTTTCAAAAAACTGGTTTCAAGTATGTTGATCACAAAGATTGTTTGTTTTTTGTATGGGATTTGCAGCTAACAGGCAATACACACTCATAAACACGACCTCAACAAGATTACCCCCACCCCCCCAAACCCCCCTAAGGGTGTTTGTCTTGTAACACACAACACTGTGCAGCGGGAGGGGAGGAGGGTCAACCCGAATTGCATTTTCGTCACCTGAAACACAAAGTGTCCCAAACGTTTACAAGGCTCAAATTTTCTCTTGTGAACAAAAGAAAATTTGAGTTTCATAATGTGTAAGGGAAAGATTTTATGACAATTTGAAACTATCAAAGTTTACAAGGATTTGTATAGCAATAAAAGCCATTCAAGCATGACTGGGTGGCAAGAGTTGTTTTCCCATACAAATCCTTCGAATTTTCAGTGGCTGTTGCAACTGCTGCTTTTCAGGTACACAGCTGAATATTTACAGGTTACCTATTCTTACTATGCTCTTTCAGTTCCTGCTAACAAAATTATTCAAAAACGAACTGTTTTGTTGTTTATAAAAACTTGATCATGTGACCAACTATTGCAAAAGGCCTATTAGCAGAGCTATTCTAGATGGATAACAAAGCAGTTGAACAAAGCAGTTCAAGGTTTTATCACAGACCTGTAATTTTAGCATCTCCTCTCGTGGGATCCGTTTCTCAAATTCCTGACTACGACGTGAAAATGCCAAATTTCACGTTTTGTGGAGGACGTGAACACTTAACACGACTTACTTTTTTTCAAGTTTTCCTGAACTTTGATAGCGTCTTTTAGAATTCAACTCCAGAAAAGTCGCCAACATTTGACGAGTTGAACGAGATGGAATAAGCGCGATACAGTTTGAAGTAGCGCGACTTCACTTTTTAAGTGACGTTTTCGTAGCGCCGTCGTCGCCGTCGTTCTTGTTTAAGCCCCCTATAAATACACAATGAGAAGCTTCACACCTTATGTCAATTCTTCTGTGAATCTTTTCCTTTGCTTTTGGCAAAATACAGACTCCCTGTCAATGAAATGTGCACAAAATAGTCACTGACACGGTTTTGACTGTATGAAGATTGTGGTTCAATTCCATTCTGTTCAAGAAAAAAACTTACGTCACCCAAAACGTTGTTCATCTGCTCTAGCGAAATAATTTAACAAACGACAACTGCCGGGCAACGAGTCATAACATCAACCCACACAATGTTGAAGTTTTAACTGACGAAAATCACGCCATCAAGCGCCGAGTCAAGAAGACCATCGAGAGTAGTGTAGGAGCTGCTTGGAAGGTGTCTCCTAATTGGTCGCAGGAAACAATGAAGTCTTCGTTTTGCTTCAAACTGTTTTGCTCTGAGTTTTGGAAATTGTTTGCTAACAGAAAAAAATTGAACCATAAAATATATATACATTATGGATAAAGGTACTGAGCAAAAAGGAATAAACAAGGAAACAAGGAAAGTAGTTTTCGCTAAAAGCTCTTCGTACGTATGAGATGGTAGCGGTAAGCAAAATCCTGACCCACCCCTTGCAATAAACAGAAGAGTGAAAAGAGGGTCCTTAATTTTATACGTCGGTAGATCGAAACGGTCGGCATCAGACTAACAGTGCACTCATTTTATCCCTCTCTCTCCACAAGTGTTCCGTTTTACTGATATTTTAAGCTACTCAAAGCCACAAGGAACTGACAGAAGTCGAAACAAGGATTTGACGTTACGCCTAGGAATCAAACTCGGAATTCCTCGCACAGAAGGCCGCTAGACTTTCAAAAAAGTCCTTCGACGGATTTAACCTCTCGCGACTTTGTCGCTCGCGGCCTAAAAAGCTCGCTCTGCTCGCTTGTCGACTTGTGGCAAGTCTAAGAAGGCCGCTTACTTACTGTGTCGGTCTGGGCAACACGGCTGTCTGTGCAATGCTATGACACACAGGAGTGTCTCAACAAAAGCTAACAGTCAATCAATCAACCTATTAAATTTATAAATGTGTCAGAAAACGTCTGGCACACCACAAGTGGTGCTCTAATCGAGATCACTTAGAATAGGATTGCTTTCTCTGCGTCGAATGCAAAAAAATTAAGTTAATAAATGACTAACTTAATCCGCATTTAAATAATTAATTATTGATTAACTAATAAATTCTATAAAAGAATGAACAAAGGGTTGCGTCAAATGAATAAATGTCTCTTTAACTTACGGTTTCCTTACCATAAATTTCGTGTCCCCCAAGGATAGAGAATCAGTTACGAAACTTCCTTTCGATAGCGTGTCCACAACACCATGTAGAAGAGCTTTCTACAAATAATAGCAAGAATATAAGAGCAAACTGATGTTCTCACATCGCTGATGAAGTCCGAGCGATTCGCAAAAACAACAAATTGAAAGTGAAGTTTATAATTTGCAATGAGTCTCGGAATTAGTTATACGATAGTGTGATGCTGTGATGTTTATGAACAATAGTGTAATTTGGCAAAGGTAAAGAGGGCGGATGGGGGGGTTGTTGGTGAGGGATTTGGAAGGAATACCCTTTTTTATTACTCTCATCACCATTGCTTTCTACGATACTTCCTTGTCAATGATACTTCGCAAATAAGAATGGTTTAACATGGCCTGTTCACGGAAGTTTTGCTCAGGGTTCGTACTCTTTTGAGCTCCTGAAATTCCATGACCTTCCATGACTTTTTTCAATGACGTTTTCAAATTTTCCAAGACCTCTGGTTTAGTGGTCACCTTCAAAAATTTTCAAAATTTTCCTTGTTTTGGGGTATTTTTTGACCTTAAGCAGCTCAACAGAAACAAACTATGGTGTTCACCAAAAAGCGTGCCGTTTGCGCTGTTTAATTACTGCTGTCTATCTTACATTGTCCTCGCTTTGCCATCTGCAGTAACCAAACTACCAAACAAAACTTTAATTTTCCATCACTTTCAAGGAACGATAATTAAATTCCATGACTTTACAGGCCTGGAAAATGACATTCTAAAATTCCACGACTTTCCAGGTTTTCCATGACCTGTACGACGGTTTTTTTTCGACGATTTGAAAGTGAGATCGCTTGGTTCGCACGCGAGAGCGAATTGGAATGCGAGAAAAAACGAAAGGAACTATTTTCTCTTTTTCCCCACCACCACCCAATTCAACTTGCGGACAATAAATCCCTCGCGGTTTTTATTTCCATAGGCGCGCTAGACAATATCTAAAGAGAAAAGAGAGGGTCTGTGAACAGGCTACGTTGAACACTAATGAGTTTATGCTATTTAGGGAGAATATTTGTAGGAGTATTTTTTTGCTGTATACTATTACTGACCTTATCAAACTCTCTGTCAGTTGAGTTGAATGATGGGTGCGTCAATAACACATCAATATCTCCACTGGAGGTGGCACCTCATGATATATGAAAAATTGATATGTGAGCAATCTACCATCAGAGATACAATAAACTGCCGCTTATAAGCTCTGGGCTTATAGGGAACGCTCGCGCGCGCGAAGCGCGTGCAGCATAGCACTATGGGGAAGAAAAAATGGTAACCTGTAGATGAGAGAAATTTTGGTAATCACGTGACTGTCCGTATATCCGTACGTTCGTCCACTCCATGTAAGGCAATGTCAAATGTCACATTAACTACCAGACAGACAAGTCCACTAAATTTTACTGTCTAGACTGACGTGGATAGCAGAGCAAGAGCAAGGGAGTGAGAGATAACAAAAACAAAGGAGACGAATTTCGTTGGAAGAAAACTTTTATGGGCTGTTCTAAAGGGGGGATGGCTAGCCACCCAGTCCAACCCCCCCCCCCTGGATCTGCCTCTTGGTTGTTACAATCATCAGACAATAAAAGACCACTGCCAATACCTCTTCTGAAACTACCGCAAACTGTTGCAATAATTTGCTTGTCAAACTCTGCAATCTTCTCCATGATCATTTCCTAAAAACGAAAATAAAATTTAGACATTGGAAGCCTAAAGTTACAACTAACAGTCAGATTTTAAAGGTTTTTGAAATTACAAAATTAGCCAACGAATAATGATAAAGTTTATATTCTGAATCTTAGTAAACCTTCTATTCCTATCCCGCACAGCTGCACTTATATGATTAATGTCCTGGTGAATGTCTTCATGCTTTGCCTAGCTTGTAATGATACCCCATTTTTTTGGTTTCATGTAGGTTTAAAGAGGGTTCAAGACAAACTTTATCATCATCAAAAAACTGGTTTCCAGTAAGTTGATCACAAGGATTCTTTGTTTTTTGTATGGAATTTGAAGCTAACCCGCAATACACACTCATACACACCGCCTTAATAAGTTTTCAACCCATCCCCCTGAACAAAGTTCAGGTCCTTAATGTGTGCAAGATATGCAAAGGGTGTTTGTCTTGTAACACACAACACTGTGCAAAGTGGGGGGGGGGGGGGGGGGAGGGGGGAAACCCGAAATTACTTTTTTTCCGCCGAAAAACAAAAGGTCCCCAACGCGTACCGGGCCCCAAATTTTTCCCACAAAAAAAAAAAAAAATTAGATTTTCAAAATTATAAAGTGAGATTTAAAAAAAAAACGTAAAAANTCATCAACAAAAGAAAAATTTGAGTTTCATAATATGTAATGTGAGTTTCATAATGAAACTTTCAAAGTTTACAAGGATTTGTATGGCAAGCCATTCAAGCGTGACTGGGTGGCAAAAGTTGTTTTTCCCATATAAATCCTTTTAATTTTTAGCGGCTGTTGCAGCTGCTGTTTTTGAAGTATAAGGCTGATTATTTACAGGTTACCTAATTTTCGTATGCTCTTTCAGTTCCTGCCAACAAAATTATTTAAAAGAGAACTGTTTTCGTGTTTACTATTGCAAAAGGCCTATTAGCAGAGCTATTCTAGATGGATAACAAAGCAGTTGAACAAAGCAGTTCAAGGTTTTATCACAGACCTGTAATTTTAGCATCTCCTCTCGTGGGATCCGTTTCTCAAATTCCTCGACATACCTAAGGATAGATAAAAGCTATTATTTCATAGGGGGCCATGCAACAGAGTAAAAAAAACAATTTCCACTCAGTACTGAATGGAAGACAAGGACAATCCTCGTGACCAACATACTTGAAACCAATTTTCTGATGATGATTAAGTTTGTCTTGAACCTGCCTCAAACCTACATGGAACCAAAAAAATGGAGTATAATTTTTATTATTACAAGCTAGTCTAACTTAGATACCCTACAGTTATATGTAGTTCAGCATTAACCACAGCAGGATTAGCTCGTGTATCAGTTTATCAGTTAGTGAAGCATTTGACTGCAGAATGGGATGTTGCAGGTTTGATCCCTTGGGCAGGACCATTACTTGAGGTCTTAACCCTTTAAGCCCTAAGAGTGATCAGCATCAAATTTCTCCTTGTAATATCCGTGCTTTGTAAAACAGATTGGTCTCGAGAATTATGGACATGATCACACAAGATGAATTACAAATGTGCTTGATGTTTTATCAACTTCTCCCCACTACTTCTATAGGAAATGAATAGGGGCAACAAATGAGAATTCAAACTTTGATCTTAGGGTTTAAAGGGTTAAAATAACTGAGAAATGAAAGTACTGACCACATAAAGTGGCAGTCCTGTCTGTAGTAGGAAATGTAAAATAGTGTCCTCAATAAAGTGTCTTGGTTCAAAATACATTGACACTCAAATAAAAGTTTTTCAGGTTGACTATAGTCCTAGTTGCCCAGGTTCAAATGAAGTCAGGGCTCAAAATTAAAAAAATCCTCAGGTTGCCTTTTGGCGACCAACTGGAGAAACAACAATTATAGTCACCAAATGCAAAATTTTTGTCACCAGTTTTTATAATGATGATGCAGCTCCTAGTACGGCAAAATCCATCATATTTGATTGTTTGAAAATATCGTGGACAGAAGTTGGTATAAATTTGGAGGTAAACTGGCTTTGTTTATGCAATTTAGCACATGTTTTATGATGAAAGTAAAGCAAGAGAAGATAAATGTTTCTTCAACTTTACTCTTTTAATCTAAATCTAAATGATAGAGAAATCTGGCTGCCAAAGTGGCCACTAAACCAGAATTTTAGTCGCCAACTTAGGCAAAAATGTTAGTCACATTGGCGACCATATCAGTCTCAATTTCGAGCCCTGGAAGTTGATTCACACCAGTCAATCTCAAGAAAGAACATTTTTCAACTTGTTCCTCTCCTGCCAAAGTTGGGATTTTTAAATTTAATGTTAAATCTGAAATGTTTGATTTATTGGGAGAGGCTAATATCATTATTAATAAGTACTTATTATTAGTATCAAGTTATTAGTTTGTGACATCAGGCCACGTACTATATAAAAACTCATGTGCACAGCAAAAATGGAGCAATATCAATTAACCTTCCAGTGATGTTATTCCTTCATCTACAAATTTTCTGGCAGCAGCAGGTCTAAAACAAAATAAGTTGAAGAAACAAAATTCATTGCACAGGCCTTGCCACTTGTGATCCATCATTACGCCAACAGAAATGGAAGAGATTCAATTATAAATTATATGATTCAATTATGATTCAATTATGTATCCTTATTATTTCGAATTGATACCAGTCTTAATTTGACTTTGCAGGCCTCAAAATTCTTAAATTCATGACTTTCCAGGTTTTCCATGACCTGTACGAACCCTGTTTAAAGGTGACAACAATGTTGGCTGTTTTCTCAGGCTATCGAACATGAACTTTAGCCACTACTTCATCAAGTAAGCAAATTTTAAGCACTCAATACTCTTCCGTAACAAAAGCAACTAGCTGGTGTTAATACTGACCCAATGCCAGATACTCTTGTTAACTGTTGAATTGCTTTTGTAGTTTCATCACCTCTGATCTAGAAAAAAATCAAGGCAGACTTGACTATTTCATAGGTACTATATACAGTGTATTGTATAACTAGTATTAAAAATTAATGCTTTGAAAGGTGGTGCGAACCTATTTATATGGGTGTTGGTTATGTTTTTGAATCACGTTTTTCAGCAGGAATGATTTGACTGATTTGGATGATTTTTGGCATTCCTTAATAAAAAATGGTGGAACTTTAAAAAAATGTTATTCATTTTCTTGTAGATATAAAAACATTTGAGATATCGGTATAGATTCAAATTTTCATTTTTTTTTTTACAGAAAATGCAAATAACTTCAAAATCCTATGACAGATTTTTCCCAGCTTCAGCAATTACACCTCAGAGCTCACAAGTTTTATAACTGAAAGTTTGATGTCAATCATGCAATCATGCAACTTGCTGTACAGGATGCTGGTCAAATTTCACCTTAAAATGTTATGCTAAAATTTGGGAAAATTGATGCATAAGTGGGGGAAGAGTGCTAAAAGGACTATATCTCCTATCTGAAAGGATATTCTTACCTAAAGCTTTATTGCAAGAAACTGAGTAATCAAAAACCTACAGCAAATATAGTTAGCTCTACAAGATGAACAACTTTATGCTGAATGTGCAGTGAGATTATCACTTGGGGACAAAGATAAAGAAAAATATGGCAATCGTCTTATTTTTCTCATTATCCCCAATGGCAAACTGCCTGTGCAAATGTGGTGGCAAATCTAAAATGCTTGCGTAAATTGACAAGTACAAGGGTTTTTATCGCAGCTCCTCAAAACGGGAATCTTCAGTGCTAAAAACTGATAGGAGATTTCAGTAGATGTTATATTTTGCTTTGTTGAGATTTTTTGCGCAAAGAAATGGGCTCAAGTTACAGTAGACTGTAGTACATTTTTATAGTACCTTTTCAAGCTTTTCCAACTTGCCTGTTTTGACAAACTCGTCAATCTTTTTCCCAATCTTATCTCCAATTCCAGGCTTGCAAGATTATGAATTGAAAACAAACAAAGAAGTCAATGATAAAGGTACTGTCAGAGAATGTACTTGAATAAAAACATTTTTAATGAACAGACAGCTTTCCAATGTGAGAATTAAAATTACTCAATTTCCTGGAGGATTCCATCTTAATTATCTGAAAGACATCAATTCCACGTGGGTAAAGTCTATTCACAAGTTTCTCTTAGGTAACCTTGCCACCTTTTTATCATTTTAGAGTTGCAATTAAAATATAAATTAACAACACAGTCAAGTAAAAGAAACTGTTCAAGGTAAAGCATGTCCACCAATTTCTCATTCTCTTTTTTATTGGTGCTCACGTCAATCTGAACCAGTTGGAATTTCCAAAGGGTTACAAGATAGTCCCAGTCTCTTATATAGCCATTATTGTATCTCCATGCAACTCCTCTTGCGATAGTTTAATTTCTTGCTGTTACAGATGAATGTGATTACCAAAATAATGATGTAATACAAAAGGTTTAAAAGACACTGAGCAATAGTCAAATCACCAAATGAAAGCTAAACCTACAGACGTTTCCTCAATACCATGAGACACTCCCTTTTGGCCACTAGTAACCAGCTGCATGACAAACAAAAAGTGGCTGTGTAATTAAGACACTAGGGATAGACCATATAAGTTAACATTCTGGTTGTACTGACAGGGAAACTGGGGTGGGGGGGGGGGGGTTATTGCAAAAGGCCTATTAGCAGAGCTATTCTAGATGGATAACAAAGCAGTTGAACAAAGCAGTTCAAGGTTTTATCACAGACCTGTAATTTTAGCATCTCCTCTCGTGGGATCCGTTTCTCAAATTCCTCAACATACCTAAGGATAGATAAAAGCTATTATTTCATAGGGGGCCATGCAACAGAGTAAAAAAAAAACAATTTCCACTCAGTACTGAATGGAAGACAAGAACAATCCTTGTGACCAACATACTTGAAACCAATTTTCTGATGATGATTAAGTTTGTCTTGAACCTGCCTCAAACCTACATGGAACCAAAAAAATGGACTATAATTTTTATTATTACAAGCTAGTCTAATTTAGATACCCTAAAGTTATATAGTTCAGCATTAACCACAGCAGGATTAGCTCGTGTATCAGTTGGTGGAGCGTTTGACTGCAGAATGGGATGTTGCAGGTTTGATCCCTTGGGCAGAACCATTGCTTGGGGTCTTAACCCTTTAAGCCCTAAGAGTGATCAGCATTAAATTTCTCCTTGTAATATCTGTGCTTTGTAAAACAGAGTGGTCACGAGAATTACGGACATGATCACACAAGACGAATTACGAATGTGCTTGATATGTTATCAACTTCTCCCCACTACTTCTGTAGGAAATAAATAGGGGCAACAAATGAGAATTCAAACTTTGATCTTAGGGTTTAAAGGGTTAAAATAACTGAGAAATGAAAGTACTGCTCCTTCAAACGGCTAGACCTTTGCATTGCTTGGATGACCATGTAAAGTGGCGACCCTGTCTGTAGTAGGAAATGTAAAATAGTGTCCTCAATAAAGTGTCTTGGTTCAAAATACATTGACACTCAAATAAAAGTTTTTCAGGTTGACTATAGTCCTATATAGTTGCCCAGGTTCAAATGAAGTCAGGGTTCAAAATTAAAAAAATCCTCAGGTCGTCTTTTGGTGACAAACTGGAGAAATAATAATGTTATAGTCACCAAATGCAAAATTTTTAGTCGCCAGTTTGTAATATATAGATTTAGCCAGGGCTAAAAGCGAAGCTCCAATTAATAAATTTATAATTTAAATTAAAAAATAAACTTTTAATCCACAAATCATTTAACTTAAGGGCACATTCATGTGACTTTTGAGGGAAAGGCTAAGTTATTTTAGAGTGAAACATCTTACATCGAATTGATAACCTTATATGTACACCCAAAAAATAGCAAACATCTTCGATCACATTCAAGATCACAGTAGATTAGGCCTCGAAAACAAATTCTTGGAAAACAAATCACGCCGAATTTTTTTGCGTTCGAGAGGTTTACTTTACAAATTCTTGCCAACAAATCTGGGGGTGTTTAAACCAACCTTTTATAATTTTTATACATCACATTTGAGGTGAAACAGTACTATTTATCACACAGACCTCGGACAGAATGCAGTATTTCACAATTTTTCAAGACAAATTGCACTCAGTCAATATTCAGGACGATCAATCGTAAAGCGAAACCGTTCAAAAATTTCCAAAATCACCCATATGGCTAGCCGGTTCTCGTTTCTATAGTGCGAGCTGTCAGTGTGGTCGAGTGTTTGAATGAACTTTAATAGCGTTACACTTCAACATAATAGCGAATTTATTATTTTTTTTTTTTGTTATTTAATGGTTTCAGTTATAACGATGTGTAATCTTATAAAGCGTTTGATACGCGCGACATTTTTGAGTACTCCTGCAAGCGATGTTCATGAACGATGAAAACAAACGGCACAGACAAGCGATTAAAATTGCAAGAGAGACTACTAACAATCAAAAAAAGAAATATAATTCGGTGAAACATTTACAGAGATAACAATTTTCATTCATGAAGACAAGTATTAAAGTGTCTCTAAAAATCCTGAGTCTCGGCGTGAAGCTTTATAAGCCGGCTTCCCGGCGCGGGTGTTTACTGTTTTCCAAGGTGAACTCCTCGAAGCAAGAAAATCGCTCAAAGTTTTCTTTCTACAGCCAAATTTATAACTAAATATTCTTCGGAACGTTTTCTATCTGTGGTGAGCAAATATATCTGAAGGCTTTTTAAAGTTCTGTAAGCTTATATCAAACCGTTCAAACCTGATACTAGGTCAGATCATTGACTCAAACTACGGCTACAAACGTGCATAAACTTGCCGCATAAACTGTCAGCGTGAATGTGCAAGACTTCATGAAATTAGATATAACAAAAACAAACATCAAATACAATAGTTACTCAGGCTTACCATTCGAGATTCAGTTCCTGAAAGCTATCAAGGAAGGCCACAGTTGCTTGAGACTTTTAAACCCTCTTAAGCATTAAGCAAGGTGAAAAACGAAAACGATGCCATCCGAAATCGAATTACCAAATTTTGACAAGCGACGCGTTCCTCAACCAAAAACCCAGTAAACAAACCAGCCATGAATAACAGAAGACTCTTGATAGCAGCTGTATTTCATTTTGTACATCCAGAAGAAAAAGACAGTTAAAAACATCACAAGTTGACACAAAACTCTTCAGCTTCAGCTGTCAAAGTAAACAATTTTCAAGATGCTGCATAATTTTTTCGCATGAACTCACCTGTCAAATTTTGACCAATCAGAGTATAAAAATTGGACGTAGAGCGTGACCAACGCGTGACCATGGTAAGATAAGGTCTTCCCCGCCTGTACTTTTAAAAAAACTGGCTGAATTTTCGCTTCCGAAGTCAGTTTGAAATCAAAATTCTAATAGTGCGGGGCCATGGTGACATAAACACAACATATTTGATATGAATCCTTGGAAAAAATAAACTTGAGCCAGCGATCATTTCAAACTGGTAATTTGTCAGCGGATAACTTCAAAAAATACTCGACCTCGATGGGTCGACACTTGAGCCCGCGCTACGGTCAGGTGATACTGGTCAGCGGATGCCCTGTTTTGACAGCTGTCAATTGATCACAACATTGATGTGAAATTAGTTTTCTCTTGGGCTCCCAAACTAGCTAAAATGTGAGAGTAAACATTGGTTTTCCTGTGGTGCGGACGGACGGTCGGTCGGCGGTCGGCGGTCGGCGGTCGGCGGTCGGTGTACGGTCACGTGATTACCAAATTTTCTGGGATGGGTAGATTTACTTAGCAATGGGGCTCCGCCCACGCGCGCGCTTCGCGTGCGCGTGGAGCTCCGCTATAATGATGATGCAGCTCCTAGTATGGCGCAATGCATTGTATTTGATTGTTTTAAAATATCGTGGACAGAAGACGGTAAAAATTTGGAGATAAATTGGCTTTGTTTGTGCAATTTGGTGCATGTTTTATGATGAAAGTAAAGCAAGAGAGGATAAAATGTTTGTTTTAACTCACTCTTTTAATTTAAATCTAAATCTTAGAGAAATCTGGCCGCCAAAGTGGCGACTAAACCAGAATTTTAGTCACCAAGGCAAAAATGTTAGTCGCATTGGCAACTGTATCAGTTGCAATTTTGAGCCCTGGAAGTTGATTCACACCAGTCAATCTCAACTTAAATGTTTTAGCTATGGCTAAAAAATTTTCAGCTGGTTCCTCTCCTGCCAAAGTTGGTATTTCTAACTTGTAATGTTAAATCTGAAATGTTTGATTCATTGGGAGAGGGTAATATAATTGTTAATAAGTACTTATTATTACTATCAAGTTATTAATTTGTGACATCAGACCACGTACTATATAAAAACTCATGTGCACAGCAAAAATGGAGCAATATTAACCTTCCAGTGATGTTATTCCTTCATCTACAAATTTTCTGGCAGCAGCAGGTCTAAAACAAAGTAAGTTGAAGAAACAAATTCATTGCACAGGCCTTGACACTTGTGATCCATCATTTAGCCAACAGAAATGGAAGTCTTGGTTTATGATTCAATTATATATCCTTATTATTTCAAGTCTTAATTGACTTTGCAGGCCTGAAAATGAAATTCTTAAATTCCATGACTTTTCAGGTTTTCCATGACCTGTACGAACCCTGTTTAAAGGTGACAACAAAAAAAGTTGGCTGTTTTCTCAGGCTATCGAACATGACTTTAGCCATTACTTCATCAAGTAAGCAAATTATAAGCACTCAATACTCTTCCGTAACAAAAGCAACTAGCTGGTGTTAATACTGACCCAATGCCAGATACTCTTGTTAACTGTTGAATTGCTTTTGTAGTTTCATCACCTCTGATCTAGAAAAAAATCAAGACAGACTTGACTATTTTATTGGTACTATATACAGTGTATTGTATAACTGGTACTAAAAAATAATGCTTTGTAAGGTGGTGCGAACCTATTTATATGGGTGTTGGTTATGTTTTTGAATCAGGTTTTTCAGCAGGAATGATTTGACTGATTTGGATGATTTTTGGCATCCTTAATAAAAAATGGTGGAACTTTAAAAAAATGTTATTCATTTTCTTGTAGGTATAAAAACACCTGAGATATCGGGATACATTTAAAACTTCATTTTTTTTTTACAAAAAATGCAAATAACTTCAAAATCCTATGATAGATTTTTCCCAACTTCAGCAATTATGCCTCAGAGCTCACAAGTTTTATATCTGCAAGTTTGAAGTCAATCATGACCATGCAACTCGCTGCACAGGATGCTGGTCAAATTTAACCTTAAAATGCTATGCTACAATTTGGGAAAGTTGATGCACAAGTGGGGGAAGAGTGCTAAAGGACTATATCTCCTATCTGAAAGGATATTATTACTCAAAGCTTTATTGCAAGAAACTGAGTAATCAAAAACCTAGGGCAAATAAGTTAGCACTACAAGAAGAAGAACTTTATGCTGAATGTGCAGCGAGATTATCACTTGGGGACCATGATGAAGAAAAATATGGTAATCGTCTTATTTTTCTCATTATCTCCAATGGCAAACTGCCTGTGCGAATGTGGTGGCAAATCTAAAATGCTTGCATAAATTGACAAGTACAACGGTTTTTATCGCAGCTGAAAAATGGATGGCTAGCTAGAAGAACTGGAGTTGGTGGCTTTATATCTCCTCAAAACGGGAATCTTCGGTGCTGAAAACTGGTAGGAGATTTCAGTAGATGTTATATTTTGCTTTGTTCAGATTTTTTCTGAAAAGAAAACGGCTTAAGTTACAGAAGACTGTAGTATATTTTTATAGTACCTTTTCAAGCTTTTCCAACTTGCCTGTTTTGATAAACTCATCAATCTTTTTCCCAATCTTATCTCCAATTCCAGGCTTAAAAGATTATGAAAACAAACAAAGAAGTCAATGATAAAGGTACTGTCAGTGAATGTAATGTATGTAATCAAAACATTTATAATGAACAGACAACTTTCCACCATGAGAATTAAAATTACTCAATTTCCTGGGGGATTCCGTCTTAATTATCCAAAAGTCAGTCTATTCACAAGTTTCTCTTAGGTAACCTTGCCACCTTTTCATCATTTTTGAGTTGCAATTAAAATATAAATTAATAATAACACAGTCATGTAAAAGAAACTGTTCAAGGTAAAGCATGTCCCACCAATTTCTCATCCTCTTTCTTATTTTTTCTCACATCAATCTGAACCAGCTGGAATTTCCAAAGGGGTACAAGATGGACCCGGTCTCTGATATAGCCATTACTGTATCACGATGCAATGCCTGTTGCAATAGTTTAATTTCTTGGTGTTACAGATGAGTGTGATTACCAAATGATGCAATACAAAAGGTTGAAAAGACACTGAGCAATAGTCAAATCACCAAATGAAAGCTAAACCTACAGACATTTCCTCAATACCAGTAACCAGCTGCATGACAAACAAAAAGTGGTTATGTAATTAGATAGACCATATAAGTTAACATTATGGTTGTACGGACAGTACAAGGAAACTGGCGGGGGGTGGGGGGGCGTGTATTTAAGAGTTAATTTACAAAAATGCAGAGAGAACAAACTGAAAGCAGGTAGAAAAGAAAGCAAGTTTTACAGCTTGCTGATTGCAGGGCTCGAAACAGCGGCCGGTCAATGGGCAATGTCCAGACTGACTGGGGAGTTGACCAGTCAACTTTTCGTATTGCCGGTCATGTTGATTGGTCACAATCAGTTGTTTCAATTGTTATCAGTATGTAGCGAGTCGCTGTGCATTGCGAAACGTTGATCTGAAATCCTGGGTGAAATACAACTAGAACTGTTGTTTACAATTCGCGCATTGAAACAGACATTAGGGTTCATGTGCTTTCGGTCACAAAATTAAAAATATTTTCACTTTTATGAGTTAAACAACAACTTCAGGGCGTCTGGTCAGTCACGGAGAAAAAAGTCAAGTTTCGCGGGATTTTTAGAGACATTCGCAGAAAAACCAGCCGATATTGCGGGAATTTCTAATTTCGGGACTAACTTTGCCAAAAAACAATAGATAAAAACAACCGATTTCGTGGGAATTTTCTGGACAAATTTCGCTAGAAATCGATCAATTTTGCGCTGATTTGACGAGCGTCTTTAAAGTTTTTTAACAGAGATAATCACTTGCTATTTTAACTACAAAGCACTCGAGAAATGAGCCAATGGCAAAGCTTTTTAAAACATCATGACTAGTGCCCAGTTGTTCCCAACATAACTTATGCCTGGTAGTTTTGGAACGTTGTTCGCTCGTTGTGGGGATGAAGTTGACGGCAATTAACAGCCCCAATGGCCGAGATAAGTTTCAAATATGTTGTATCAACATGTATTGGATAAGATTTCTAACAAATTTCGCAGCCCCTCGACCCTGCGAAATATCTGAACCCATAGCTGTTTTTTTGAAATATATAACGCCAGTTTTGGTTCATGGGCCCTTGTTTTAAGAGTTATTTATCTCATAAATTTGACCGGCCAGAAACGATAAGTGACTGAGTTAAAATGAATTTGGCCGGTCATCGTGTCTGAAGGCTCCCCGGAAATTATTTCGAGCCTTGTGATTGGGCAAGCTGCAGCTAGCACGTACTGGCCCAAAAGTCATTATAACTGACCCCCCAAAAAATTGATGGTGATGAGCAGGATTGATTACCAGCCCGATCGCAAAATCTTCTAGCCCCAGGTTATCTCATACTACTCTTTTTGCACACTGGAAAGACAAGGTGAAAATCCCCACCCTCCACCATTCCCCCACCCAGACCCCAACCCCCCAACCAAACACATGGTTCCGAAAAGCCTGATGGATAGGCAGGTCCAGAAAATAATTCAGAAAAAGGGGGCCAATACAATTAATTTTGTTGATTGATTAAAGAGTTCTGAGAACATCTGTGTCACCAAGAAAAAAGGATGGGCTGCAGCCCATTCTATCACTCAATCAATCTACCACTATAACAGATGTATACCTTAGTATACCTATTCTCACCAATTTACGGGCTTCTTCTCCACTTTTGATCCTTGTGGGATGTTTGGCTAATACAGATGCTGCCTTCCTGTGAGCACAATATAACATAACTTACACATTAGTTTCTTTCTGTATCTGTTGATAGAGCCATTAGCTGCATCTAAATACAGGGCAATATTAAAATGCCTTAAGCAAGAATCTCCTATATGCCTTCCATGCCTTGGTAGATTATGATATAGGCTCTAGAAGAGCTGAGAGAGATAAATATTTGTGCCACATTCATCAATAATATATACAATATTTGTACATATTAGTCTTTCTAATCAAAGTCTCCTATTTTTCTCACCTGTTCCATGGGAATAGAGGGCTTTGATGAGAAAATTCTTCACCAAAAAAGATTATACACACAGAACTAATTTGCTGTACAGTCCAGCAAATGCTTAAAGGTTATCTATTGCTCCTGTTTGTACTTTATATTACTGTGTTGTATTGAAGAAAATTTACTATTTGCAATACCTGTATGCATTGTATTTGTGTATTTGACGCGATACATTCTTCTCGTATTCCGCTAGCTCTAAAAACGTTTGAAATTCAAAGAAACACGATTTTCATGATCAGTATAAAAAAGGCTCATATCATCAAAAGTAAATCGCGACATTAAGTTTAAATTTAGCCTATAAACAAGAATACTACGGTTAATTTAATTCTTTGGGAAAAGAAGTTACTTTTGCGTGATATGTTCCTGCCGGCCAAAAGTGCCCTTGGCTGTTTGGAAACCGGAACAACCGAAAAATATTACTGAAATATTTGGAAGTAACCTTGAGCTTTGATATGCCAAGAGGGTCACCAAATGAAGCCATGCATAGAAACAATAAATAAATGAGCCCCACCGCTGAGAAAGTCACAAAAATCACTGTTTGGATTTTGATCTTGTGCTTTTCGTTTGCTCATTATTACGGCTTACACCGAGCCAAGGAAAGTTAACAGACGGAGGTCGCCATGTTGTTTTTTAAAAAGCGCGCGAGGCATGGTACCAATTTTGCATCATTCGGAAATCGACAATGTCGATGTCACGAAAAAAAGTGGGAACAAAAAGATCGCTTCTCTTTCAAACTGAAAAAATCTCCATTAGTCTTATCAAAAGAGTCTTAGTGCGATTTTATTCACAAAAAATCTGAAGGACTTTGTTTTTCTTCGATTAAAAAAAAAACCCATAAAACCACAACATGTTTACGTGCAAAGTTCCGTGACAAAGAACAAAACACCGATCGTCTTACGTAGCGCAATCGATTAGTTAGCTTATGACGTCACTGATTGATGACTTGCAAGGACATCACAGACTGCTTCAACGCGCGAAGCATACGGGGTTGAAGTGAGGAAATTAAGCAGTTGTAATGAAAAGACAAGGTTGATCGTGGAGTAATACTATCGGTTTTGGAGGAGAACCACACGAAATCGCTCATAGGTACTTTAAACTGCACAAGACCGCGTGGTTAAAGACGACGCTAACTTAACAGACCGTCCAACTACCGAAAGCCTTACACTGGAGCCTGTTGAGAGTTTCGGCTGTTTAATGCTCTCGTTAAGCTCATTACAATCGCATCTTCGACAACACAGGACTTATCTGACTTTTGAACACTTTAAAATAAGAACTAGGACTTGAAAAAAGTTGTTATATTTTGACGATGTATGCGGCGAGAACGTGGACGAGAGTATTGAAGCGTCACTTACTGGGTTCTGCCAAATACCCATTCCGAAGATGGCAGCAAACCGCGGCAATGGTGGCTCAAGAACCATTTTTGAACGGCAGCAGTAGTAATTATGTGGAGGAAATGTATCTGTCGTGGAAAGAAGACCCCAAAAGTGTCCATCGGGTGGGTAACTATAGCATATTGTATGTCTCTTAAAGTACATGGTAATATTCTGTTCATAGTACATAAGGCGACAAGATCGTCGTGGGATGCAATTCCACGCGAGAAAGTGACAGATATCTTTGCTTTAAAGCAGTGGGTTTTGAAGAAAACACAACTCTTTTAATGCAGTTTTTTGTCACTGATAGCTGTTCGTTGTTTTGTGTTTGTACGTCACTTGGTCAGCTATAAATGGGTGTGAATTAGGCTGAATGTTTTGTTGTCTGTAACGTGCCGCTGTGCAGTGTTCATTCGGGTTTAAATGCAGTGCCCAATTATAATAAGGAAGTTCAAATTTGAACCATGGACCTTGTCCATCCTTTGTCTAATGCGCCTTGACTTGCAGGCTTTCACTTGATTATGCAGTACCCAATATCAGATTTTGAGTAAACATGTTTTCAGGCTTTTTTTTTAATATTGGCCTTTTTGAGTGAATTGAAACCATCAGATCAGTGCTTAATATTGGCCTTTTTGAGTGAATTAAAACCATCAGATCAATGCTCATTTAGAAGTACTTCAACCAAAGGTTTTATCCACCTTAAACCAAACAAAAGAAGAAAATTAAAGAAGAATTTAGAGGAATTGGCCCGCGTTGCGGCCGGACTTATCACTCAAGACCAAGATAGAGAACTTAATATAGTCTGGGACATATATCAGGGATTTGGACTGTCTGCTACACAGGCTGAGAAGAATCCATCTTATTAAATGGCCAGAATTTCATGTTATGAAAGTACAGTCGAACAGAAAAACAGTTGAATACCACCTGCCTGAGGATGACGTAAGAGGTGCTATATTGCATCACGCAACATTGGCATGGCATATATATAAATTTTACATAAAAAAAATTAAAATAGTTTATTTAAAGAGAAGCATCTGACTCTTTAAAACTGGATTGGCAAGAAGAAATTGCATTTGAGGCTCTTTTACAGTAACTCCCAAAATAACTCCCCTTCAAGAGTAGAAGAGCAATCAAAGGAAAAGATGTATTTGTTAATGGATTTACTGGCCTCTGTTGTTTTTATTACAGCTCCCTTGTTAATACACATTATTAATAATTTATACATTAATGCCTGAAACAAAAACAAATAAGTATCCAAGGTTAAAACTGACCATCAACAGTTGTAGTTTGTTAGCGAGGAATTAAAGTATTTACTAGAATGATAACCTCATCAAAACTGGTGCGGTATCGATAAATAATATTTTTCATTAATCATCAATGAAGAATATGATATGGCAAGCCACTATTAATTAGGGTATCATCAGGGCTCGAGAGAAGTTGAATTCCAGCTTCTCGTTTTGCTTGCCAGGACTTACACCCCTGTATGTTTAGTTACAAGGTGACCCTGCTTCAGCCTTTGTTCATTGTGCAGATGCGCTTGAAAAGTTACTCACCCAACAAGAAAATCTACTTGCCCAGGACGACCAGATGGGACGTTCTGTTTAACACAAGAAGTTTATTACTTGTGCATGCTTGAATAATGTTATAGTATCATGGGTGACAAATTACTCCTTAATTTTGGCACAAAATTTAAGCATCATTTGAAATAACAAATTTGCCATCAGACGGCAATTTTCCATACATCTCAGTTCCAAGATGGTAACGAAGTTATAAAATTTTATAAATGAAGATATCAGTGCATTAAAAAGAAAACCTAAACACACTAAAAAGCACGTCATGAAGGATTCTAGCAGGTGTGTTGTCGAAAAATTGTGAAAATTCTGAACTTAAGCCAGATTTAAGGTCTAAACTTATGAGAGTGTGGAGTTCTTGATCGATTCGAGAAAACCAGGATAAACATGTCAAAAATTCCGGAATTGTGAATGTAATTCGCCACCCATGATATTAGGGAACTTACTCAACAGGATGGAAGAGGAAAGAAGACGGCAAACCTTGTTTGACAAAATGTGACAATAATTTTTTGTTTGAAATAAATTTCACCAGACATCATCATCATCATCATCATCAATCTTTATTTATACACAAAATCGTATCACTTTTACATGGTCTTTCTAGGAATTATGTGTAAAATTATACTAAAATACTCTTAGAAACTACTTGACTATAAAGTTAAAAATACAAAAACTTATATTATATTAAGAGTTACAATGAGTCATGGTGTATTAAGATAATCTTTTTAAACTAGGTGGGTTCTTCACTTTTCTTAGACAGATCTTTTTGTTAAAGACCAGAAAACATGAGTGGTAAGTAAAGATCACGACAAACCACGCAAGTAATAGCCCTGTCACAATTGTCACACACAAGCATTTTGCCGTCCTCTTGTGTAAACTCACTATTAACCCTCGGATCTACAAAGGTGTGTGTGTGTGGGGGGG